ACACACACACACACACACACACACACACACACACACACACACATGCACACACACACACATGCACAAGAGAAACATGGAAACTCCACCCAGAGATGCTGGGAGGTCATGCTATGACCTTGTTGTGAGGTGACAGCTCTAACCACTGCTCTGCTATGCTGCCCACGTTTTGAAATATGAACGGCTTAAACATCAGAAAGAATGTAGAAGTAGTTCAACCGTAAAACAAGGAAAATGAAAACAATGGTGTTAATGCCATTAGGCTTCGTGGCATTAAACTGTAAACAAGTATAATGACTTTGCAACATTTTATAAAGAGCACAAATAAACTAAATATGCAAAAAAAATGAAGAAGTGAAGTCACATAAAACTAAAAGTGGTCAGAGGGAGAGGCGCTGTCAACTTACCGTAAAAATATTTTCATTGTGAGTCAGTTTCAAACAAGCCAGACTTTGGTTTAATTATGACCATAAAAAACAGGAATTACAACTGATGAATTAATCTGAACTGAAAGTTAGGACCTGAAAGGATTAATGACCGAACACACTCAGTCTGTAAATGAACTGATGGTTTTTGTCAAGAAGCACAAATTGCAAAATATTGACAGGAAATGCAATGAAAGGAGAGCATTAGGATCTATTTTTATTTCACACTTCAAACTGGTCTTAACATTGGTTGCTTATACGATCAGGATTTATGCATGAAAGAAAACAAACAGTAAGCAGCGTGCAGGAAAGTCTGAGATTCTAGAAAAACATTTTGTGGTTTTCTTGACCAGATAGTTTCCAGTGACGGGCAAACAAAGAACATCGTCTCTTTCTTCATTTTAGCTGCAGCCGTTTGATTATTAGCTGAAAAACAAGAAGAAAAATAAATTACTGCCTTGTCTTAAATAAATGAGCTTTGCTCTATAACTCTTCATCTTTATTTTTTACCCAGTACCATTTTAGCAAAAATATCTCATGAACAGCTAAACATATTTCAATAAAACTTTCAGGAAATGTTAACTAGATAGAAATCTACAACTGATTAATGTTTGAGGTCAACCTGATTCTTCAGTTTCAGTTTTTTATTCATTTCATTAAAACAAAACAAAAAAATTATATACAATATACAATAAAAAGAAAAACATAAAAAATGAGAGAAAAAATATATGTGCAAATCAAAATCACAAATAAAATGAAATGAAAGGCAGCAGAGAGAAGAAAAAATCTTATATTATCTGCCCCTTTTTTCTAGAATAAGTTCATCTAACAAAAAAATCTGTTATTAACAAAACAAAAGACAAGAACATCTAATCCCTCTAGAACAACAGTTTAGATAGACACACCTTATACTGTTTCGTATTTCTTTAGCAAACAAACTTTTGTCATTTTCTTAAATGTACATAATGATCCTGCAACATCGTGTGTAATATCACTGCAGTTTTACAAGGTTTGATGAAAACAACGCTGACATGTGAGGTGGACAGTTTTTGCATTCCTTCTATGAAATGTGATTCTCTTTATAGAATTGATGCAAGGCAGGTGAATCGACAAGGAAACTGTTTCTTTGTGGCATAAACGCACCTCTAATAACATTCCAGGCATTATAACAGGGATGCATCACACACCCCTGACAGTTGAAACTATTCCGACTAGTTTGTCTGAAAACCGCAGATTACTTTTATCAAAGTATGAGGATGTGATGGATTTTATTTCAAAACAACCACAGTCCTAATGGAATGGTTCTTCTGGGAAAGATGTCAGCATGTGTTCATGTGTCCAGTTCAACTTCTTCCCCTTCATGAGATGAACATGTTTTGGTGGGGTCTTACTGGGGTATTGTTTCATTTTTTTAAGTTTAGTCATTTTTATTCCAACGTTTTTATTATTAATAATAATCAATATATTAAAGCGGCGATATTATGTGTTTCTCAGACATACATTTAAATACCATACCATAATAAAGTATCTATGTCACCTTTAGCTGTTATTAAAATGCTGTTTTTATGTTTAAATAGAAAATAAACCTATCTTCTCATCACTTCCTCTTTTAAATGCCTTGAAATTGGCCTCTGTGTCTTTAAGAACCACCTTCCGCTCCTGTCTCATCCATTTTGTGGGAGAGGGCGCGCTCGCGAGGGGGGCCTGCCATGATACAGTTTACTTGGCATCTGAAAATACATTTTCTCCAAAGGTATTTTGAATCTGAAAAGAGAAGTAGTGGAGCTCAGCAGACAGTTTAAGTTTCACTTTCACCCGAGAGCCTGCAGGAGTCATGGGTGGGGTGTGTGGAAGGGGCGCTCTGCCATGAGGAAGCTTGGCTTAAAGACATGTCCCAGGGGCGTTTCTGGTCCCCACCTGTCGTTTTGCTCCTCAGCATGGCTTCCTAAAAACGCTGCAGGATTTCTGAAACATGCATGAATGAGTCAGAGCAAGGCTTTGGGCATGTTTTTTGTGAGAATATAACATTGTAGCAGGAACGTAAGAAAACAGTTTCACGCAAGAACTTTGAATCAATGCCTCCCCCTCCTCCCATATCTGTAGAGAACAATGGCTTTCTCCTTTGTCCTCACCCTTTGTCTCCACTGTCTACAAATGCTAAAATAAACAGGAACTGCAACCTTCCATTGATTAAGCCCTGTTGTGAGATCCCTTTTAAGTGTTCAAAATGGCCATTTACAACAAAGAACCAAGCATTTGGCCAGACGGAAAGTCTCCAGAAGTGGGTTTATAATCTACATCCTGACCCTAAGCGACTGTGTCCCCTGCTGAGATAATGACCCACGAACTACCTTCAAAGACATGCCTAACATACAATCTCATTTATGGTCTTTAGCTAATTTTTGTAGCTTAAGAACGTGATTTGTTCGGGAAATTGAGCTGATCAGAACTTCGATCCGATCCATCGAGACCCGGACCAACCGCCTCCTCCTGGAGTGAAGCCGACCCAGACAGCCTCGGCGTTTCCAGCTGCACCCGAGCGGGACCTCCTGAGACCGAGCGGCACTGGTGACCATCCTCGCTCAAATCTCCTGGTACCCTGCGGCAGATCTGACCTGGTTTACGTCAGAATGGTAGGAAAGAACATCTTTCTATGTGTTTGGTGGTGTGCTCAGCTGAGGTGGTGAGAGAGAGTTCGGGCGCTTGAACGGACTTGGAAGGGAGAGACCTGGCGAGTTTGTGTGGCACAGGTGGTACCCCTTTTATTCTGTAATAGATTATAAGAAAATCTTATAATTTAGCGACTCTTCATTAAGTAAAATCCTCCTACAACATTATAACATGATAAAAAACTCAAAAAAGTTGATTTTACATGATATTGCCCCTTTAACTGAACTGTATTCAGCTGTGTTTTAACATTACTGAATGACATGGAATTAAATCTAATTTGATTAAATGGTAATTTGACAAATTCTATCCACTGAACAAATTGTAATGAAACTATTCAAAGAAATCAGATGTAGAACTGGTTAAATTTAGAAGTAAACCTGATTCAAGATGGCCACCATGGCTAATTAACCTCAAAGGAGACACTATGCTTTGAAATTCTTCTTCTTCAAATTTAAATCATTCAGTTGGGGTCTATATCTCTTATGGAACCAACTTCCAGTTTCTGTCCATGAGGCTGACACTCTGTCTACTTTTAAGATTAGACTGAAGACTTTCCTTTTTGATAAATCCTATAGTTAGACTTAGGTTTCCTGAATTATTCTTCATTTCTGCTGCTATAGACTTAGACTGCTGGAGCACAAACTGAGCACATTTCCTCACTCTGCTGTTGTCTTTAGTCTCTCTTCTCTACATGTTTATTGTTATTTTTTCTATCATATTTTATCTTTGTCTCTTCCAGAAGAAGGTGCACCTGGACCAGTCCTGGACCAGTTCTTCTGTGTTTGTCTGTGTCTCTTTCCTGTCCTCCAA